TGAGTCTTGAAGACACAACATCACGGGCTGATCTGAATACAGAAAGGCAGCCTCGCACTCTCCCGCTGCACCCTTTAAATAGCCAGACCTATACCTGATATGTTAATCTCCAGGTTTCAATGGAAAGTTACTGAATCCCCCTACCATGTTTATCGGGGGCAGACCATTTGCTTGGTTGTAATTTGCATTCAGACAACAAGGCAGAAGGTGTTAACTCAAAGACCACACTCCTTTGTGTGACCGTGATTCCTAAACTTCTTAAAAACCTTATTACCTTTTCTTTTATTACTTTGGGAATGAGACATTATTACCAGTCACCCTGAGACCATCAAAATGATTCTAAACAATCCTTAAAGATTATCAGATTCACATTAAAACCATATTCTTGTGAGCTTTCAGTATCATTGACTGAGAGTGAAAGAGAGAAGATGCAGATAAGATGTTCAGAGAATAGGGGGTAGGGTGTCAAATGTTAATTTGCAAGCAATGCCTTTTGTCTTTAGAGGCCACTGGTCAGATATTTTCTCTTTAACCAGTTTTCCAGTCTTACAGATTCCCTCCTTGACCCCATGGGTCAGATTCAGACACTCAAGGGGTCACAGAGTAAGACGTTTGGTGTAATCCTTGGTGTAATTCAGCAATTGTCTCTTGGCAATGTTGGCATCTGTAGAAGCTCAGAGGGCTTTGTTCACCTGCAGATCACCTGTTCTCATCAGGCGTATGCAGCATGAGTCCAGCAGGTGGATGAGGCGTTCAGGCTTTCTTCTGGAGATGTGAGCAAAGTTCATAGAGTCAATCTGGACCTCTTGACTTTTTCAGTTGGCGTGTCGTTCCTTCCTGAAGACACTCACGTTTTCCTGGCACCTTCCCCATAACGATAATCTGTCCCTTCTTGACCAATCCTGTCACCTCCGGCGGTGCGGTTGTCTGGACAGACCTCAGTGGGTGAATGGGCTTTCTGTGAGACGTCTGAAAAGCATCTTAAATGTCCGCTTCACGATTGAAACACATATGAACTTGAACTCAAGAAGAAATGCATAGAAACGCATAATGCAACAAAACAAAATCATGTCATGTTCTTTTCAGCAAGTGTGCTCATATTTTTCTCAGGGTGTTGAATGGTAAGGATGTCTCATTAAATATCCAATTCTTAAATATATTTTTCGGTCTGAATTATAAAAAGGAAATGCAGCAAAAGGTCAGTGTATTCAAAACAATCAAATAGATTCTATGTTAAAAAGTCATGTGATAAAAACAATCAATGCTCAATCATGTAATAGAAAACAATAAAACATAATAATAATTAAAAATATAATAATCAGTGTTTGTTAAGGAATCTTCCAATGCAAGCCACTTATGCAATTCTAGGAAGTGACTTGAAATATGCTTAAATGTATTCAAGGATGGAGATTGTTCATTCCTTTCAACAGGTGTGAGAGGGTGTGTTTTTGTGAGGGTATGAGTGCATGTGCGTGTGAGTGTGTGTTTGTTTGTCTGAGTGTGAGTTTGAGTGTTTGTGTGAGAGAAAGAGGGAGAAAGAGTGTGCGTGTGTGTGTTGTTGTTGGCTAAGTCACAGTCAATGACAAGGTTGAATTGACAATTCTGTTTGT